GCTCGTATTTCCTTCGCATCGCATGTCTCTGGATATGCGCGATCTGATCGGGCGGATGCTGGATAAAATGCCGGAAAGCAGGATCACAATCTCAGAGATGAAACAGCACTCGTGGCTGACTAATAACTCAACCGAACCACTGCCGAGCGAGGTCGATAACTGTCGCGTACCAGTCACCGTCACCGAGGAAGAAGTCATAAGACTCGGCACCTTGCTTATGGTCAAGAATATGTTGAAACAGCATAGTTTCCAAGTAAGTGTGAAGAAGCTGTATATATTTAATCCTAAAAACTCGGCAAGAGAAGAACGACTTTAGCATTGCATTATAGCAAGAGAATTAAAGAAGAGATATATTAGGATTTTTTTAAATACAACGAGATGTTCACTTTCTGTCATAGTCATGCGACATTTTCAATTAAATTTATTAAACGATCTCTCGAATAGAATTAAATATATGTTTAAAATTATTAAATTTATTAAATATTTAATTATTAAATATATGTTTTTGTCGAAATGCAAAATGCAGTCTTTCTTTTCTCTTTTTCTTTCTTCTTCGTCAAAAAGTCATAATATTATAAGCGTTACTGATCTATTCTGACAATACCTACCACTATGCAATCCTCTCGTGAGTGAATTCAGTCAGGAGCAATTTGTTCATGAAATTGAATTTGAAAGAATTTGTGATACGAGAATATTAAAAAGTAGACTCCTCCATATAATCGCTTTCGCAAAATGTCGCAACGATATATTCCAGTGTATATCCTTTTAACATCACTATAACGACGCGTAAATATTACATAACGACTGTTTCGACAGGTGTACGTCGATAATGTCAATAGATGTATGTGTTCACATTTAATCTTATAAAATACAAATACAAGATACAAGATACTTGATAACGATATTTCGCGCACCGGTTATGTATAATCATGCTTTTTAATAATGAAATAATTACTGAAAGCGTGTCGACAAATATTGAGGATCGTTTATCGGATTATACTGGTGTGTTGGATGAGTTGTGTTTTACATACGATTCTATTTGTCTAAATGTCAATACTTCAATAATGCTTCAGCATGCTTTAACAACATAGAATATCTCATTATATGCACGCTGTAAAATACCAGAGATTGCAACAGTTGTATTTATTTACCTTTCTAAAGAAAAAGAAGATAGAGAGAGAACATAGCTTTTGCATCGTGAAACAATTAAATAAATGTAACAATTAAAATGACATCTAGCGCGCGTCAATTATTTTTGACTTATAATTTATTTATTTAAAAAAAATATTTCATATTATTAACAAAAATTTATTATATTATTTATTTATATAGTAGAAAATAATATGTATAAATTCATAGCACGTTTTCATCATGATTATCTTAAACTAAAATTAAAACGAAAAAACGTGTTTTGTGAAAACATGAAAATATATTTGATAAAATTTTCTACAATTTTTAAAATTGCGAAACTCAAATCAAAACTCAACCATCCACACAGATTCCATTGAATATATCAACACACACATTAACCACATTGTCGGACATCACACTGGTCATAACATTTAACTACTGATCAGATCACTTACACCAAGACAATTACTGTCCATAATAAACGTTCAACTAACCGTGCAAAATAATATGATTATACATCTTGCAACAACAACACACATAAATTGACCACAATCAACCGACGATCATATAATTATTGAAAAAAACAATGCGATGTTTTTTTACACAATATACATGTAACATTTAATTTTAAAAATGTTTAATAAATATAATTAATTATAAGAATCCTATCACTCATTTTTTTAAATTTACATATTTTATATATTTATCGAGGTGTAAAAACTGAATCCAATTGGAAGAATCGTCATTTATGATTCGTTTTGTTATAATTTTGATTATAAAAAGGAATATTTTTTTACGATATTCGACTTTTAAAGTAAACCGTGTAGTTAATGAAAATAACACATGAAGTTTATAGATATTTAGAAGAATTTTAATTTAAAAGAAAATTTTGTTTGGATGAATCTATTGAATTATATATTATGTATTATATCTTAATTAATTAATTAAATAATAGTAACTTGTAAAAAATCCACGATTCTCGAAGACAATGACATCAATTTTGTTTTTATTGAATAAAAAAATATGGTTACTAAACTTTTATATTCGGACAGCATAATATATAATTTCTGCAATAATAATAAGACATAACAAATAACAAGAAAGATAAATCGCGAAATAAAATCAATATATAAAATTTTTTTATATCAATATATAAAAAAATCAATATAAAAAAAAGTATGCAGAATCAAAATCGATAATTTCGATTTTGCATACTTCTTTTGAAAATGAACGATCATAATTAGATAAAAGCATATTTTTGGATGATTTTTACCGAAATTCTTGGTGCATTCAAATCGCAGTATTCTCGACATCAAAACATTTGTTCTTCTTTTCTTCATTCATGTTCATTGAAATTCGCATAAGAAATCGATTTTTAAAATGAATTAGCATTTTTATCGTTGATAAGAAGAATCGATTCGCGAACTTCGCGAAGAAAGTCAACATTCAACGTGCTCTGCAATTATTAGGGCAAAAAACTAAGGAAAATAAAACGCAAATTATTTTTACTCCTCAGAATCCATTCTTGCTTAAGCGACTCGGACGAACGGCGAACAACGGTACGCAATCACCGGTGAGCGGACAAGAAAACGCCGTATCTTCTTCATCGCAACATGATACGACGAGAGACGCAAAGACAGAACGTTTTCACGAGACCGGAAGAAGCAATTCCGCGCCGGACTCCTATGATTGGCACACAGGCGGCAGGTAAACATTATTGTATTCATAGGGCTAGGATATTTTTTACAGATATTGTTTTTATATATCCCATTTCAAAATTTTCTCATGCCATTTATATATAATAGAATTCTATTTTACAAAATCTCATTCGCGCCGTAACAAATTTGTCGAAACTGATAGCGCAAATATTCGACAAGGGCCAAGTTTTATTATTCGAACGTATCCTCTCGTCGATTCGTTTAGAAGAATGTCTCTATAGAAATATATAAATGTTCTTTGCATCCAAGATGTTTCACTCAAATTTATGAAACGTATCAATGCATTTCTTTATAGATTTTAAAATTTGATATATTTTATTTAAGAAATTTGATATATTTTATTTAAGAAATTATATATCCGTTTAAATTGTGATTAATTTAATCATAAATATGCCATTCCGTAGATTTAATATTAGTGTCACAGCCATATTGAATTGTATTAATTTCTTACATATAATATGCACAATTTATTCTTATTTTGTTTGTCGAAATAATAAATCGCATTGGCTATTTACGATGGGATATAAATCAATTGATAGTAAAAAGTAATATTAATGTCATATTAATATCGCCTCCGCGCATTTGCCTGTTTTTTTTTTTAATTGCCTCATTAATTTGCATATTGGCAGACAAGTATCGGTGGAAAATCCCTTGTCGCCTGTGACAGAAGCCGAGAGAAGGTAATGACGTTACCAATAGAAGTAGCTCAAAATAAGGAAACACACATACCGATCTTTAGATGACAGGTCAACGTCAAACGGAAATGATCATCGATCTAGCGACCGCGACGTCAAAAGGCGAATTTGTCAAACGAACCAACGAAAACTTAATCTTCCAAAGAAACGTCGTTATCGATTTCGCTCTCATTGCTTTTATCGTTAGAACCGTGGAACGTTACTTTTAGTTTTGCAAGAGCTCTATTTACGTTGCGGTATGCGGAAATTCCAAACCGGCGAGGCTGAAACAGCGGATCAAAGACGTGTTGGAAATGTTTTTCCGTTAGATCTCAAAAATTTTATATGAATACAAATATAATATTGCCGTTCAACGTTCTATATTATATTATGGTGATAGAGTCAGTGATCATATCTCTGATTATTGTTGGTTGATGATGTATATGGTAATGTTATTTACAATTAATGACCGCACATAAATAGCTCATTATACATATAACTCTTAAAAACATAGAGCTATTATTACGTTTATGTGTATTTCGCTATTGACTGCCAATGTTGTCTACGAAATGAAATCTGGCGAATTTTAATGACTACAAAGTATAGTGCCATTAAATAATCAATCACTATATTGTTTTCTTTTATGTTGCTTTTTATCTAAAGCAATTCCTATGAATACTTAATATTTGTATAAAAAAGCAATTTCTATAAATAATAAAAAATTAACAAAGTAATACTATACGTATCATTACGGCAATTTCTCAGAGATTGAAAAAACGATTAAATATTTATGCTATATAATAATGTATATATAACGAGATAATATAAAATGTGATTTATCTAATCTCAAATTACTATATATAACAAGAAATTGAATTTTGCGATGTAAATTACGATTTAATTGGGAAGTTGATGGTACAAGGATAGATCACGATAAATTTTATCGCGTTAAAATCACGTGTGTATAAAATCGTGAAAGATAACGAGTGGATAATGCATCTAATGCAATGATCCGAAATAAAGCATGCCTCGCCGGATTTAACATTCCATTAATTTGTAAAAAAAGCATTTTTAAATAATTTCAGGATTTAGAGCTATGTATGCTGTGCCGATCTAGTATTAGAAAGAGAGCTTCATCGTAAAAACATTTTTTTTTTAAATATATTATCACAGTAATGCAAAAATATCAAAAATATACATACAAATGTCATAGTACGAGCAATGTTTGATATGATGTGTTTTCTACAATATTTTTTCATTTTTTTTTTTATAAATCCCATTTTTATTTCCCTTGTCGCTACAAGGGAAATAAAAACCAGATGACTTGATGTTAAATGTTAAAATCTAAAGTAAATATCAATTTTACAAACATGTCAAATAACATGATATGAAAAGACAGAATATTTCATGTCTGTAATCACAATATGGAGAGAATTTACAATAAATTTGTAAAAAAATATTCATATGTATTGTAAAAAAATAAACAGTATGATAAATCTACGAATTGCACATACCAGTTGAACTCATGAACTGAACAACTCATGAACACATTATATCAAACAGGAATTAATTAAAATAAAAGATAAAATATTTAATTACAATTTAAATAAAATAAAGAAACTACATTTACAGCCAAGAATTTCGTTAAAAATAACATTTCTAAAATATATAAGAGTTCTGACAGCTGTGATATATTTTTGATTATAGCTAATCAAATTCTCTTCTAAGCTAGATTGGCAGATTCGAATAAATTCGAAAAGAAGTAATTAACGACAGTTCCAAGGAAAGTGGATAAGATCTCTATGCGAGTAATTTTTTTTTAATCACACGGTTAATTTGTAATTTACATGAGCACCGGAAGAATGTCTTGTAACAAATTAATTCCAGAGAGAATATATATATATATCTTTACAGAGTTTTATAATATTCTTCTATTTTAAATAATTTGTTATAATTATATCTAATTACTTCATGATTTCTCATTTTGCGCAATATAATGATTTTTCTCAGGTTGAAATTTTCGAAATCATTCTTTCGCTACTTGTGTGCAAAACGCACGTTTCATATGCTCGCAAAAATAGAACATATTGCATTTTTAAAATTATCGTGATAAATCTTGTATGTTTACAAGCCTCCGTATATAATAATATGTTTCCATTGAAGTTTTTTCTGCCGCAATCACGTGGCGAGAAAATCGCTCATATGCCCAAGATTTTAACGTCGATATAAATGTCAGATTTTTGCAATTCACTCGTCCCAATTTACAAGCCGCGTAGGTTGTATAGATTGTACATAGATGTAAAGGTGTACGTATATTGTATTCAGATTTTGTATGTATACTCATATTTTTTAAATATATAGGCTCGCAAATAAAAGTCCGCGATACAACGATGCACTTTTTAGGTTCATGCTACTAAATACAAATAAGTTCGTTTCTTTATATAACAATACAACATTTTATAGACTTTATTAATAATAAAATTTTTAACATTTATTTTATGAATTACAATATCTACATAAATATTTATTTGGAATTTTATTATAATTGCAATTTAAAATTTGCTTTCTATTCTACATTCAAATAAAAATTTGATTTTGGTTATTATAAATATATATAATATCTGATAATTATACTTAAAAAAAGAGAAATATAAAAAATTTCAATTCAGGGATTTTTTAAATATATAGAGATCTTCAATAAAGAATAACATGAATTTTAATTGGAATTGTCTCTTATTATAAAGACTTTGACATTAAAAGACAAGTGCTTTGATTGAATTTATAAAATCCATTATATTCGTAGTTTCATATATATAATTTCCATTGCATGTTAACGGCACCAAACGACCAAGAAAAGGCAACTAAAGAGAGACTCGTGATTTTATTGGACCTTATTGAGATACGGGGGACCATATAAAACAAATGTATGAATTTAAGAGATAGATTTCAGAGCTCACGCAGCGGGCGGTCCGAGATGCATCGTGTGTCCCGAGCTTCGCACGCATCTCAATCTATTTCATGCATACAATTATCACATGGAGACTGCGACGGACTTATTAGTCGATAAGGATAATTATCTAATATACAATTCAGCACTCGCGTTTTCATAAACTTTCATTTAACCGTGACAATTTTAGAGTCTATGCGAACCAACGCATTCTCCATATTATTGCATAGGCCAGGAAATAACGAGCCTTATGAAAAAGTGGCAAATTAATCGCTGAGGGAAAAACAATATACATACACTTCCTAATACATTTACATTTACTAGATGTACTTGGCGGCTCATAAATGAAGATCTGCATTACATCATCGCATAATTGATTCTATATACGCCTGTCTAATAATTCAAAACCTAGACAATTGTATTTAGAACTAAAGAAGCGACGCGAATGCGGATCTAGGAATCCTTCCAGAAATATGGATGAAGTGTCTATTGATAGCAAATACGTTAAAATCATTGTTATATATAATATTACATTAGAATTAATTTAACGATAAATCTATATGACTTTTTATATACTGTTAAGTAAAATATAATTTATTAATCCCACATTTCTCGTTAACTAAATTGACAATTAAAGTAATATATATA